TAAAGTGATACCTATTGGTCTTTATAGTTCTTTTGCACTTTAATCTGTGTAAAACTTTTAGCTTTATACATTTTTCTGTATTGCTTTATTGCATTTAAATGTTCAGTTATTTTTGTTATAAGACAAAAGTTATTAAACCTGTTATACTGTATTATGACAGCACTTTTAAAAAAACTAAATTGCAATATCGTGATTATACCGTGATAAAAGCATTAGCAATTAATCGCAACATGAAAATTTGATACCGGCATATCCCTATTATATATATAAATACACACACACAGTATATATTTTGAAAATATATACATGTATTTACATGCATATATTTATATTCATATAACTTATATTTTATATAAATATATATAATATATAAACATAACATCTTTTTCTTAAATATATACATGCATGTGTATTTATATATGGATAACAAATATACACAGTACACACATATATTACGTAAAAATATTTTTTAAAAATTACTTTTATTTTGGATGCGATTAATCACGATTAATCATTTGACAGCACTAATTTAAATATATCTCTAAAGAGTTAATCCACATTGTTGTTCATTATGAATTCAGTGACAGACTCCTGTCCATACAGTACACGTCCCTTTTCTTTCTCTCCCACAGTTCTTTGCCTGCCTGGTCATTCTGTTTGCCTGTGAGGTTGCTGCTGGAATCTGGGGATTCATGCACAAAGACAAGGTCAGTTTCTCTGACAAACATGCATACACAGTGTCAAGCTGACATACACATCTGGTTTCATATTTGTAATTATACTTTTTTTTTTCAGATCTCCAAAGAGCTGATCACTTTCTATGACTCTGTGTATGACAGAGGCATTTTACTTACAGATAATGAGCAAAGGCAGGCTGCCGCTGCTGTCTTGAAGATCTTTCATGAGACTGTAAGTAGTCCTGATGTTCTGAGGAGCACACAATTAATTAAGCTAACACAAACTCCTCTCAAACCAAATAATAGTCCAGATGTTGTAAAGACATATTTCTAATCACTGTCTTCTCTGGTTTTCAGCTTAACTGCTGTGGCAAAGGAAGCATTATTTCAGGTGCTACAATGTGGCTTTCAGACACCTGTCCTCAAGACAAAAAAACTTCTGACGTAATAAGCCTCCTCAGTAAACCCTCATATTGAAGAATTCTCCTCCAAATCATCCCACATAGCATGACAATAACCTGTTTCTCCAATTTTCAGAACTGTCACACCAAGATCAAAGAGCTTTTCTCTGAGAAGATCTATTTGATTGGCATCGCTGCCTTGGTTGTTGCTATTATCATGGTGAGTGAGTCCGAGTGTGTTTGTATAGGGGCCTGTGTGTTAAGTTATATTCTACTAGCGTTTGATGTTGCTTGCATCACATTTTACCCTTATTTTACTCTCTTTTTCTAGATCTTCGAGATGATCTTCAGCATGGTGCTTTGCTGTGGCATCAGGAACAGCCCTGTTTACTGAAACAGAAGGACAAGATATTACCTTTAAAACATCAGCCAAAAAAATATTTTGTTTTATATCTACCATCTCTTATTTTGTTTTGTATCTACCATTGTTTCCTAATGTAGTCACCCTGTCCAGTTCCTGAGGTCTCAGAACAATTTTTGTGCATTTTTTTGTTCAAATGTTGCAGTGGAACCACCAACAACTAGTCTGCTATTGTTTACGCTGTAGTTGGAAAAGACTAGTTGTGATCTGTAGCTATAGCAGTAGACTTACAAACACAGTACATTATCACATGAAGAATTGATACATTTATTTGCTTGTAGTTTTTTTGTGTTAACATTGGAAGTACTGCTATTGCTATCGGTTAATATCATTCTTTACGTATGTACATGTATAAACTGTATATATTTGCAGCCCTGTATGGCTCTTAAGCATGAATCTTGTATTGGACACTCCTGTCCATCTTCCTCTCTGAGACTGCTGTTTGTATATTCACGTTTCTTCCTGAGAAACCACTAAATAAACAGTGTTAGCTAGGTGAGCGAGTAAGTCAGAATAGAGTGCTTATTGGAAGTAAGAGTAAAAGGATTAAAAAAACGTTAAAGACCCATGTATACTTCATTTTCCGCGTTCCGCTCCGTCTAGCGCACAGTTGAACGCTCAAGGCATTCAAAATACACTCCGTAGACGGCGCTCTAGGACGGACGCGTTCGGCGCCTGCGCACTACCTAGTGAACCTTCGTTTTCAAGGCTTCGCGGGGACAGTATGCACTGATATTAGCGGACTTGAGTCGCACGGACTGTCAGCTGGAGTGGAATTCGGACAAGGAAAGTATACTTCCGGTTTAAAATGATTGAAGTTGACGAGCACTGCGTTACTTTATACATTGTGTGCCATTCAAGCTCAGTCGGTTCAAAACTTTATTTATACCGGGTTCTGTGGGTCAACAAGTTAATGTCAGTAAACAGCACTTGTAACATAATGTTGTTTACAACAAAAATGAGTTTCCACTCCTTAAAAAACAGCAACAATCTGTGTTACAATGAAGTACTACTTACAATGACGGTGAATGAGGCCGATTCGTAAACATTCAAATACTCGGTGTTTAACGTGATTGTAGCGTGACAGCCTTTTTTAAACATTTTCTTTACAATTTAGTTATAACAAATTAAGTCTAGAACTTAAAATGATTAGAACAACTTAAAAGCTCAAATAATATACAAGCTTTAACAGACGCGTTAATGTTAAGCGCGTGTGTAAAATGACGCATTTCTGTTTTAAATACTCTAGAAAGTTGCATCATTCACTTCTATTTTAAGTGCCTCACCGTAGCATTGGTTTTTGCTTTTTTTCAAGATCCAGAATGAGTTTTCGTGGCAACATTACGCCGCAAATGTTACCAATTGAGTTGAACTTGTGAATTATATTGAACCTGGAATATTCGTTTAATGGCAGAAAGGGCACTGCTCGTGTTTCTTATATGTGAGATCACAAAGACGAGAGAGCTGATCCTAGATCTGCATTCTTGCTGTGGAAAGCTGTTAACCTAGAGCTTCTGATGCCCACTACAATCTCTTTATGCTCTCTTAATACACTGTAATGTATTTTTCTGGACGGCCGTCATACAAGGAGTTGGACCACATGTAGATTCACTGCCCCAGTCACTGAAGTTCTGGCCCTCTTTACAGTGATCCAAGCCATAGAGAGGATTCATACACACCTACTAGCCTTATTAATGAAACACCCCATCCCTTAATTAATCACTTAGATAGCAAATCCAGATTGATTCCTAATGGAACCGTCTATGCTGTCGTAGCTGTAATGTGTTATGATATCACTCGACTGGAAAATCCAAGGAGTTTGCGTAATTGTCTGTATGTACATTTGTGATATCTGTTGACTGTGAGTTTAGAAGGACGGGCTTGGTTGGTTATAGGATTGACAAGCTCTTGACTCTTCACTGCCACCTCTATCACAAATGTCGTTGATGTAATACCTTGTCACCTTCACTAGGTGGCGCTCCAGTAGTAGGCTATTCACTTTGAAAACTGGTGACTACACTCTTAGTATGCCTGTGTACATGTCTGTCGTGCACGTATTTTTCTAGACCGCACTAATACGAAGCGCCCTCATCCCTGATGCATAAATACCATCAGATTTGTGATTTTCTACATGCATTATGCAACCCTGTCTTGTTAACACATAATGCCTATGCTGATATGCTTAGAAAGTGTCTTGTAATATGTACAGCTATATAGTATACTAATTACCATGTAAAGACAATGTATGCCTTTAATTGTGATATCTTTTTTTTTCTGGTACTTGTCAAAAAATGCAATGATTTCATTTTAAGCATGTAAGAATTTTGGGGGTCCTGACAAGTCGAGCATGATCTTCTAACTATGAAATATTATGAAGGAGAAACAGGTGTTTATGAAATTAACTGTTGAAGTTACAACACATCAGCGTATTTGAACACTATCAAATATTACTGTTGTGTTGAAAGGATCTCATACTTATCTGATACCCAAATTGACAACTGTAACTCGAGCTCTCTTTACCCTGACACACCATTTATAGATTTTGGTCTGGTTTTGTCGCCCAAATATTTAGGAATTAAATGTATTTCACAAATAATCTCTCTTCATTTTGTTCTTTTGTCTACGTTATTCCCTTGTTGGTGGGGGGAAAAAAAGAGATCTAAACGTTCACTCTTAAAAATAAAGGTTCCAGAAAAGGTGTTTTCTTAGTGATGGAATAGAGGAACCTTTTTGTGAATGGTTTATGAAGAACCATTGGGTTTTCTTTTTTCCTTTAAAGAACCTTTTGAGCAATGGAAAAGTTCCATGGATGTAATAGGCTAGGCTCTTTATGGAATCATTGATTCCAATAAAAAAAAGAATGAAAACTGTACAAATAGATACTTGTCATACTCTTTAAAGAATGGGATTTACAGTCAGAATCTATTTTCATCATGAATCATGTTTTGTGCATCAGCACATTCTTCTTCTGTCAGTCATACATCCTGTTGCTAAAAAACCCTGAACTTTTTTGTTTCATTTTTACTATTATTTTTGGTATTTTATTTTTTGACATTCTCATTTGTGTCTTTTTAAAAATGACTTCTAAAGATAGATACCGAAGGTGTAAAGCTATGAAAGCATTTGTCAGTTTCAGTGTTGTTGGATATAGTGACCACTCTGGTGAGTTGCTGGACTGCTGCATTGGGTGAGTCTTCTGAACTATGGGCCTCCCTTTGTTTGAAACAAATGACTTTGGCAACTCATTTCCAGCATGTGGATAAAGCAATCAACCAAAATAATACATTCATTACTGTATGAGTCAGTGATCTTCTAATCGTTTAAATATACACAGAAAATAATCACATTTAAACCAACTCAACTGAAAAACCCCTCAAATCTTATTCAGCCTGTTGACTAAACAGTTTGCACATCCTCTCCTCCTCAATGTGGGATTTTTAGAACCCTGCATTTTTCCTCCTATCTCTTTTTAGGATTAACTGAAGTTCCTGGGAGGAGAGATGATGCAATGTCAGAATTTGGGTGGGTAACAGACATTTTAAGTTACTCCTCTTTAAACAGAATAGTTAAAGACAAGAGAAGAAAGAGAGACGAGCAAAGGGGCTTATAAAAGGAAAACTGTGAAGCCTTTGGTTCTTGACCAAAGGAAAAATAAACAAGGAACATATCAAACAATGAAACCAAAGTCTTCCGTATTAATGGTGAGTAAATCTTTTTGTCATGTTTTTCAGTTGTTTAATTTATATATTTTAAAATATATTAATTAATTTAGATTCCTTACAAAAAAATGATGTATCTCATGGTAATGCCATTGTACTTTTTTGTAAGTAACTTATTTTGGGGGGGGGGGATCTTCGAGCTACGATGAAAGAACTTAGACACTTTTAAAACAGCTACATTTTATTAGTTAAAACAAATAAAATGTGTGAAAATATAAAGAATTTAAAACAAATCTTTAAAAATATAAGGAATTCAACATTGTACAAAAGACTATGGTAGTACCATGCTGTTATGAGATGATAATAACATGGTACTTATATATATATATATATATAATAACAAAGAGTGAAAAATTTAAGGGGGTCTGAATACTTTCCGTACCCACTGTGTATATATATATATATATATATATATATACCATGGTCCTGAAAGTTTACCGTATTCAAATAAAGTTTGCTCAGAGAGAAGCAATATGTCCATGGTACCATAAAAAACATGGTTAATAACATGAACTTTTGATATATATATATATATATATATATATATACCATTTAGCATATTCAAATGTAATTAAAGTTTTCTCAGAGAAACATATGATATTTTAATGGTATGTCAAAAACATGATAATACAATGATACTTTGATATTTATCATGGTCCTAAATGTTTAGCATATTCAAATACCATTGTAATTCAAGTTTACTCTGAGAAAAGCATAATATGCCCATGGTATCGTGCCAAAAACATGATAATACCATGCAACTGTGATATATACCATATTCAAATACCATTCACTCAAGAGGAAAGCATGGTATGCTTGTAGTATCATGTCAAAAATATGGTCATACCATGATACTTTTAGGTTAGGGGGTGCATAAAGCACAGCAGGCAGACCCAATCTGCATGGAGGAGCTCATATAACCTCTGTAACTCTAAACTGGGGCTGATAAATGCGTATTTTAGTGCTGAGAGCATGGTGAATGAGGAGGCTCCGCCCCGGCTACACAATCTCTGTATCTATTGACGACAGTAGCGCACAGCTGCCTGCAGAGCTGGACAGATCAAGTGTACGAGGCGCTGCTCGTTTGACCTGTGCTCCGGGCAAATTACTTTCAGTTGATATTGGAATACTTTAAGAAGAACATTCGCGGGGAAAAAAAAAAAAAAAAAAAAAACCAGTTTCCAACGGAATACGGATTTCGGATAGAAAAAAAAGTTTGGATTGTGTAATTACTGGAGCGAGTTTTCGGACTTCATGATGAGCGCTGTTGTGGCCACTGAGGGCCTGTTCTTTTCCGCCTTACAGCCCAGCACCTCGGTCACCACATATGCGATCCCGACCGATGACCATCCCAGGAGGGATCAGCTGTCTAAAGCCAGACGCGTCCAGCAGCAGGTCCAGCAGCGCATGGCGGAGAAATCCTCATCCTCATCCCGACTCAACGCCTCCACAGGTGAGTAGAACCTGTTGATGATCCGGTAACCGGGATCCTGTGCGCTTTAAAACAGCATGCACACTGTTCTAGAATGTGCAAATAAGTTTTAAGCAAACTTTTTAAACTTTAAACTTAAACTTTTTAACTTTAGTAAATTACGATGTACAGTTTTAGGCTACTCATATCTTAGGTGACAGTATTAGAATATACAAAATTGTAATATTAGGGATATTTTGTCCTAAATACACATTTGTTGTTATCATTTTTTTAAAAACAGAGTAAATAAATACAAGCCTTTTTATTGACTCTATAACTATTTTTTCCTCATTTAAAATTCTAATATTTTTACT